GTTAGTTTCATCTTAATGAGCCGTTCAGTCTCCAACAGTTATCCAGGTCTGCAGAGTCGTCCTATCACAGCGTGTGAATATTTATAGTGTCTGCACTTTATTAGTGTAACTGCATAAAACAATTACAGTTTGTGCAGCTCTGACTTGGCTCGTTTCACGAGTTCAGCAGAATTACACAACAAAGTCACCGTTTTCCACCCGGAGCTCAGTTATTGTTACTGGATTCATGGAGTCTCACATAACTCAGCACGGTGTGTGTGTCACGTCTCACTTCACTCTATTTGTTGCACACTTCTTGTGTTTTTATGGTTTCTATTGGTCTGACTTGCTCTTTACAGCCGCTTTTCACCGTTTATATTCCCCATGAAGCCCTTTGTTACTTACTTAGGTAAAGTGGAGCATAAAAAAATACGATTATAATAAAAACAGAGCTGGGTGGAACAGCTTTCCTCCCTTCCTTCCTTCCTCTTTCCCTCCCTCCATTCATCTACCTCTCCTTTCTGTCTTTCCTCCCTCTCCTCTATCCTGACTGACCTCAGTGCTGCGCAGCTAAAACACACTCCCACGTGTTCAGCAATCAGGAAGCAATAAACACACACACACACTTTGAAAAAGGTGGGAAAGCACGTGAAACACACAGTTGCAAACAAGTCTAAGTACAGGATGGCCTCAAAACTAATGCAAGGAACACATCGGTAAAGTGGAGCAACACACACACACACACACACATTAACAAAGCTGCTCTGACTAACAGCTCTGACCACAGAAAGTGACACACAGTGAAGTAGAGCAGAACTGAACACACACACACACACACACACTCACACTCCTGCAGAAGCATGAAGACAGTGCTGTACCTCCTCCTCCTCCTCCTCCTGCGGCTGCGTCGCCTCCTTCAGGAACTCCTCGCTGTCAGCAGGTGTTCTCCCCTCTGACCCCTCCGGCAGGAAGGGGAGGAAGGCTGGGTTCACACCGCCACCTCCATAACTCCCCTCAGTTTCGGAAATCCATAAAATAATGTGTTTTTCAAACTTGCGCTCACACCGGCGTGTGCTCCTGTGTGTCTGGAGAGGAAGAGTGAGTTTGTGAGCCGAAGCAGAGGAGGAGGTGAAAGTCTCGCTCTCTTCCTTTTCTCTTGATTTGTTCCACAGCCACGCTCACGAGCTCCCCTCCCTCCCTCTGTGTGTGTCTAACGGCGGTGCTGCAGCCGCCGAGCCGCCGCTGGTGAAGCCATCTGTTGCAACACGTCCGCCTGCTTCCTCCACTTTCACTCTGCCTCGCGGAGACGGAGAGAGAGAGGAGGGGGCGGGACTTTGCCCTGTTTCTGGACCAATGGGGACGCACAGATCCCTCACCCTGACTGGAAGGGGAGGACCAGCAGCGGAGAGGACAGAATGAAATAAATACAGGAGGGAAGGAGAAATACAAGAGGCAAATATCCACGCACACACACACGCAGAGAGGGGAGGTGGCCCAAGAAGGGAAACGCAGAGACGCAGACGTGACAGTATGAGGCCAAAAATATGCAGACAATGCGTTAGTGTCCTCTCAGTTTCGATGAAGGGAGGAAGTCCTGGCTTACAGTGAGCGGTTGCAACTTATTTAGACACCTGAGCAAAGTTGCATGAAAGCTACAATTTCATAAAACTGTACAAAAGTCCAAAGTGCCGTGTTCTTGGTGTCCGTCCGGGTTAAAGATGTGTGAGCGGCAGACAGCCTGCTGCCCAACCTGCTGCAGAGCTGCACAGTTTGAATGAAAGGAGCATGTGGTCAGAGGGGGGGTGTGGGATCAGAGCAGAGGTATTTGGGCCTGTGTGGCTAAAATTGTTACCAGCAGTGACAAACGTTTGTCTGTTTCTACCTGTTTCCAGTGCACTGATATCACAGTTTAACCACAGACTGTATATAAA